CACCCTCACGTGACTGCCAGCATGCCCTGATTTGGGTCGGGGTGTGTCAGTTTGGTATCAGAGCCTAGGTTTAGCAGTCTTGTATTGTTTATGAATATTCTAATCATTGTGATGTCTTCTGTCAGAATCATGCCACCTCGTAGTGAGCCACGTCACTCAGCCAAGCTAGTTTCCTTGATATTGCTCAATTAGGGGAAGTTATAGCTAATTCCATTCAGTCTTCGCTCCGTCATCCTCAAAGGATACCTCTTGAGATTGTGTAAAATCTGAAGCTGAATCATTTTATGGGGAATGAAGGGCGTGAAGGAGCGGAGAAATGGATCAATGATATTGAGAAGACTTTCTGTGTGATGCAGAGTCAATGGAATCTTCCTTCTGATAAATGGGTTGAGACGACTACCTGGTTTTTGGGCCGAAGCCTGCATCTTGGTGGAGACAGGAGTCTTATTAGTTGACCCCAAAGGAGATTGGGGACTGGGAATTATTTAACCATATGTTCCTAAAAAGGTTTATTCCCCATGAGTATATTGATCGTAAAAAGCAAGAGTTTACTTAATTAAAGCAGGGGAAGATGACGACAAATGAGTATTATAGAAGATTCACTGACTTGTCTCGCTATCATCCGGAGGCTGCTGCTAATCCAGTTGAGATGCTCCGTCGTTTCAGGTTGGGCACTAAAAAGAAATGGCGTTCTATAGCGACATCGATTTCCTGTGCCACTTACAAGGAGTTTTATGAGGTTTTACTGCGGATTGAAGACTCAGAAAACATGCCCAGTGAAAGTGAAGATGAAGAAGAAAAGAACGAAAACCAGAGGTGAGATGATAAAGGTAAAGGTCAATCTTCTCAGGGACCTCGTAAGACTCAAAGTTTTAAGAGAAGTGGTGTCAGTTCCAGCTCTTCTAGTAGAGGTTTGAGCTCTAACGTACAGATGAGAGGTGGTAGATTTTCTAGAGGCCCTAGATTTCAGAGGTAGAGGGATTTTGGTGGTTCAGGTGCTCCTTTATGCCGCATATGTAATAATAGGCATTTTGGAGAGTGTAGGAGAGGCATCAGTGGATGCTATACTTGTGGGCATATGGGGCATAGGGTTGCACAGTGCCCTCAGAATCAGCAAAGGCCCCAACAGTTTTCCTTACCACCACCTGCGCCGACCCATCAAGACCTAGTGGTTATGCCCAGACTGGTCGTGGTGCTGCTTATCATTATTAAGGCGACACCGCTCCTTATACTACAGGGCAGTATCAATACTCGTAGGACCTTCATTATTAGGGTGGTTACCCTTAGTATCAGGGAGGTTTATGCCTTATCAGCCACATTCAGCAGGTAGATCCCGGTGGTACTAGGGGGACATCCCCAACAGGTAGAAATTGCTGCTAGCAGTGCAGGATCTTTAAGGTAGTCTGGTTAGCCAAGACAAGGAAGAGGCATTCATGCTAATAGAGGTCCTGGTGGACGACAACAGAATCAGGGACGTATCCATAACATGGTACTGCAAGATACTCAGAACAATCCTGATTTAATCATGGGTACATTAAATGTTCTTGGTCATTTTGCTAGAGTATTGATTGATTGTGGTGCTACGCATTCTGTTGTTTCTCATACATTTGCTGAAATGACCCAACCTCATCCTACACCTCTAGGATATGATTTAGAGTTTTCTATGCCTAGAGGGGAGAGATGTTATGTTGATTGAGCATATCCAGGATGTCCAGTGATGGTGGATGATGTTGTTATGCCAACTAACCTTATTCCGTTAGACAGTTGATTTTGATGTGATTTTGGGCACTGATTGGTTACACTGCAATCGTGCCAAGATAGATTGCTATGGAAAGACAGTTACTTTTTATCGTCCTGGATTGCCTGAACTTACATTTGTAGAGATGTGGAGTTCGCTATTAATCTGCTTCTAGGTACGGATCCTATATTTTTTACTCCTTATAAAATGGCTCATGCTGAATTAAGGGAATTGAAAGTTCAGTTGCAAGAATTAGTGGATAAAATTTTTATTCAGCCTAGTACTTCACCTTGGGGAGCTCCAGTTTTATTTGTGAGGAAGAAGGACGAAACTTTGAGGCTATGTATTGATTACATGCAATTGAATCGGGTAACAATTAAGAACCGTTATCCATTGCCACGTATAGATGATTTGTTTGATTAACTCCGAGGTGCCTGTGTGTTCTCTAAGATTGACTTAAGGTCTAGTTTCTACCAGTTGAAGATTAAAAGTGAAGATGTCCCGAACAGCATTCAGGACTCGGTATGGTCATTATGAGTTTCTTGTGATGTCGTTGGGTTAACTTATGCACCAGCAGCTTTCATGGATTTAATGAATCGAGTATTCCAGCCATATTTGGACAGGTTTGTCATTGTCTTCATTGATGATATTCTGGTATACTCTAAGACTAGAGCAGAGCATGCTAGACATCTTAAATTGGTGTTGAAAAGTTTGAGGGAACAACAGTTATATGCTAAGTTCAGCAAATGCCAATTCTGGTTAGGTCAAGTGGCATTTTTAGGACATGTTATATCAGCTCAAGGCATTCGAGTGGATTCTCAAAAAGTGGCAGCTATGGAGGATTGGGAGCAACCTCGAACTGTCACTAAGGTACGGAGTTTTCTTGGCCTAGCAGGCTATTATAGACGGTTTGTTAAGGATTTTTCAGTCATTGCTTTTCCATTAACGAGGTTGACTAGAAAAGAGGTTAAGTTTGATTGGGATGATAATTGTGAGCAAAGTTTTCAGCAGTTGAAGTATTATCTCACTCATGCACCTGTTTTAGCACTCCCAGATGATAGTGGTAATTTTGAGGTCTACAATGATGCTTCTTTGAATGGTCTGGGTTGTGTATTGATGCAACACGGTAGGGTGATTGCTTATGCTTCGAGACAGTTGAAACCTCACGAGAAGAATTACCCTACTCATGATCCAGAGTTAGCGGCTATCATATTTCCTCTGAAGATTTGGAGACATTATCTTTATGGTGAAAAATGTAAGATCTTAATGGATCATAAGAGTCTTCAGTATCTGTTTACTCAGAAGGATCTAAATCTTCGGCAGCGGAGATGGATTGAGTTACTTAGCGATTATGATTGCACGATTGAGTATCACCCTGGTCGTACAAATGTAGTGGCAGATGCACTTATTAGGAAGACTCCAGCTAGACTTAATGCCATCTATGATTGTCATGTTCCTCTTCTTGCCGATTTGAGGTCCACTGGAGTAAAGTTAGGAGTGGAAGATCGAGAGAAAGCCTTACTTGCGAATTTTCAAGTTAGGCCAATTTTAATTGATCGCATGCTTGAAGCTCAGATGATTGATGAAGATACCCAGGAAATAATTCAAGCAAGAAATCGAGGCAAGAAGAAAGATTTTAGAATTCGAGAAACTGATGGCATGCTTATGCAAGAAAACAGAATGTATATGCTGAATAATGCAGAGTTAAAGAAAGAAATCCTTGATGAAGCACATATTTCGGCATATGCAATGCATCCAGAAGGTACCACGATGTATCATACCATTCGACCATTTTATTATTGGCCGGGTATGAAAAGAGAAGTTGTTGAATATGTGAGTAGGTGTGTCATTTGTCAGCAAGTTAAAGCAGAAAGAAATAAACCTTTTGGATTGATGCAGCCACTTCCCCTTCCACAGTGGAAATGGGAAAATATTACTATGGATTTTGTGTACAAACTTCCTTGTACACATAATGGTTATGACGGCATTTGGGTGATAGTTGATCGGCTCACTAAGTCAGCACACTTTATTCTAGTGCGGGAAAAATATTCATTAAGTCGATTAGCTAAGTTATTGATATCGAAGATTGTGAAGTACCATGGTGTTCCAATTGATATTATTTCGGATCGAGACCCTAGATTCACTTCTAAGTTCTGGGTAGCGTTCCAGGACGCTCTTGGTACAAGATTACTTTATAGTACGGCATATCATCCTCAAACAGATGGACAATCTGAGAGGACTATTCAGACATTAGAGAATATGCTGAGATATTCAGTGCTGCAATTTGGCGATGGTTGGCATGATTGTTTGGGTTTGATGGAGTTCGCCTACAATAACAATTATCATTCGAGTATTGGTATGGCACCATTTGAGGCACTTTATGGCAAGTATTGTTGAACGCCATTATGCTAGTCAGAAGTTGGTGAAAGAGTTTTGGTGGGCCCGGAGATTGTGGATGAAACTACTTAGAATATTCAGGTAATTAAGTCTAACCTGAAAGTGGCCCAGGATCGACAAAAGAGCTTAGCAGACAAGCATGCCACTGACTGGATGTACAATGTAGGTGATTGGGTATTTCTAAAGCTATCACTATGGAAATGTGTTGTGCGGTATGGAAAGAAATGCAAGCTGAGTCCTACGTACATTGGACCATATATGATCACCGAGCAAGTTGGTGAGGTTGCTTATACACTTGAGTTGCCTCCAGAGTTATCAAGAATGCATGATGTGTTTTATGTTTTAATGCTTTGACATTATGTTGCAGATCCTTCACATGTGATTCCTCCTCAACCATTGGAAATTAATTCGGATTTAACTTACGACGATGAGCTGGTGACTATTTTGGATTGGAAAGATAAGGAGTTGAGGAATAAGACAGTGCATCTGGTGAAAGTTCTATGAAGAAATCACTCAGTGGAAGAGGCTACTTGGGAGACAGAGGATCGGATGAGAGAGATGTATTGGTATGGCACCATTTGAGGCACTTTATGGCAAATCTTGTCAAACGCCATTATGCTAGTCAGAAGTTGGTGAAAAAGTTTTGGTGGGCCCGGAGATTGTGGATGAAACTATTAAGAATATTCAGGTAATTAAGTCTAACTTGAAAACGGCCCAGGATCGATAAAAGAGCTTAGCAGACAAGCATGCCACTGACCAAATGTATAATGTAGGTGATTGGGTATTTCTAAAGCTATCACCATGGAAATGTGTTGTGCGGTATGGAAAGAAAGGAAAGCTAAGTTCTAGGTACATTGGACCATATATGATCACCGAGCGAGTCGGTGAAGTTACTTATAGACTTGAGTTGCTTCCAGAGTTATCAAGAGTGCATGATGTGTTTTATGTTTCAATGCTTCGACATTATGTTGCAGATCATTCATATGTGATTCCTCCTCAACCATTGGAAATTAATTCGGATTTGACTTACGACGAGGAGCCAATGACTATTTTGGATTGGAAAGATAAGGAGCTGAGGAATAAGACAGTGCATCTGGTGAAAGTTCTATGGAGAAATCACTCAATGGAAGAGGCTACTTGGGAGACAGATGATGGGATGAGAGAGATGTATCCACACTTGTTTTATGACTATTAGTGGATGTATTTGTTGTGTATAATTTCGAGGATGAAATTTTATAAGGTAGGTAGATTGTCACAGCTCGTCCCGGAATATTTAGTTTCAACGGTGTGAAATGACGGTTTTATCCTTGGACGTTGAGATTGTGATGTGTGTGACATGCTTTTGGGATGTAGACCAATATGTTGAGTTTCTAAGTTTTGGACTCAATTAAAATTTAAACTTTTGTTTGTTTTGGTTGGTGACCAAGTGAAGACACACACACACACACACAAAAACAACCTCGTGCACACTCTCTCCTTCTCATTCTCTCGGCTTTCCTACCATTTCTGTACAAAACGTACGGATGAACACCAAACTCACATTTCCAAACGGAACGACGTCAAGAAGGTAAGATTCGAACTCTTTGCAAGTCTCTGAGTTCATGTATGCCATTTTTAGATCGTGAAACCCTCAAAACCCCAAGAAACCATCACCCCCAATTTGAGTATTGTTCATGTGGTCGTAATTATGGATGTTTCAAGGGATTTTAAGCTCATAGGAAGCTTTAGGATGTTCTTACGAAGCTCGGAGAAGAAAAACCAAGAAATTGGACGTCGGGAAGTCGAGTTTGGCGAGTTTGAAAGTTGGCTGGAATTATCGTGCCTTCTCCGGCGAGATCCCGTGATTTTTATAGCTTGAAATTGGTAAGAATGTGTTCTACTCATTTTAAGCTTCAATTTGGTTTAAGTTTCATGAATTTTGGTGCAAAAATGAAGAAGTTAGAAGGATTTTTAGATTTTCCAGTTTCCGGCGACGACGACGGTCGTCGGAGTTCGAAGGTAGGAGATGACGGAATATTCCGTCAATTTTGATGAAATATTCCTAATGGCGACTAACGGCGTTAGTTAAATTTAACAGAATATTCCTTAAATTTAAGGGAATATTCCTAACGGCCATTAGGCCTCAGTTAAGGTTTGGCCGCGCATGGGGGCGCGTAGGGCCGTGCCCTTGCCCGCGCATGATGGCGCTTGAGGGCTCCAAAAATTATTTTAAAAATTTGGGCGTGTTCCTGAGGTTGTGTAGATCACGTTGGTATATTTAAACACCCCATTTGAGCAATGTATGTGAAGTTATTAGCCAGTATTGGTTATGTACTTTAAATTAACGTTTTTATAGTTGTTTCGCATATAGGGGAGACTTATCCCGAGGACGAGTGCAGTCAAGGGTTACTTGTTGGCTACGACCCTTCGACATACCAGTGAGTGGACTTTTGGTTTTAATATATATGTATATGCTTGGTATCTTTCCTAGAAAATGCATTTAAATGAGTTATGACTTAAATTGCCATGCCAAATGTTTTACATTTAGAATATGCATATGATGTTTGCATATATATATATATAATTGTGGTGCTGTGGACGCTCAGGTAAGTCCCAGGTGAGTTTATGAATTGTGAATGTGAATAACGGTTGTGATTAAATGGGGAACATTAAGCTCATAAACCTGCACTCCGGTGTTAGTGATTTAACCAGAGATATGGCACAGACCTGTATATAATGTCACCTCCTGCACCATATGCTCACATTGGATCCAAGTTAGGTGCACAGTCTTGTCGTACAAACCATTCTATGTGGTTCCGACTCGTAGGTGACTAGCGATTTATCGCACAGTTATAATGAGAATGTAGTAAGGAGCATAGTTATATTACACCCAGTCCTGTCGTACAAACTATTACAGTGGTTCCGACTCGTGTGCAGTGTAGTGCCGTATAGGTTACTTGCAGTGACTCCGGCTAGATTGACTAGTGAGCTATGAATTCAGCCGTATATACCTCTGCAAGGATTCCGGCTAATATGTTATTTTTCCATGAATTTATTATCACCTAAGTCACTTATTCTGTTTCATATTTTGGCATGGCATACTTATGAAATTGGATATGTGAAGCATGAATTGAAATATATGAGTATATATACTTATATATTTATATTCCATTTCTGGGAAAATTATACATGTTTTACGGCGAGGGGTTAAAGTATTTGATAATGAAATGGTTTTGAAAAGCTTTGTTTTTGCCCACTCACACTTTCTGTTTTGCGCCCCACCAGGTTTTAGATAAACTTGTTCGTTGGTGGTTCACGAGGATTGACTGGAGGTTCTGATAGACTATCACAAATGTAGGGCATATTTGGGTGTCGTTTAATTAGTGCTTGTTTTCTGGACTGAACTTAGGCTACTTATGCTCTGATTGTGTATTCACACATTTTCTAGCACTTATCTTAGCTAGTACTCTTATGAATTGGTTTTTAATTATTCGTATTCTCTATTATCATTATTGCTTCCGCACTGTGCACATGGCTACGTCACCCTCACGTGACGGCCAACATGCCCTGATTTGGGTCGGGGTGTGTCATTTAACCGAACTATTGGAGTTGGTATAATAGATATAGAGATCACCAACACATGTTGGCCTTATCTTTATTAAAAAAAAATGATACAAATATAATATAAAAAATGTGGTAAAAATAATATTTTTGTTTATAAAGTGCCCGTAGTTGTTGGTAAGATTCTTAATTACCAAAAAATGAGTGATGTTATGAGAATCACATTTCACATCTAACTCATCTATCAAAAAGACATGGGGGCGTACACAATAAATGATTTAGTATTCGTCAACAGTGAAAAAAAAGAAAAGAAAAAAGATGCATGGTTTAGTATTCGTCAACTGTAAATTAGAGCATCTTTAATAGAAGATACAAAATATTTTAGAGGTTTTTTAGCTAAAATGATTTATGAGATTTGTTTAACATGGTTTAGTATTCGTCAATTGTAAATTAGAGCATCTTCAATGGAAGATAGAAAATATTTTAGAGGCTTTTTAGCCAAAATAGTCTATGAAATTTGCTTAACTCCTCACTTTGGTTCCTAAGATTTGAAATCAATATAAATGATCCTTGAGATTGTCTACCATTAATTATTTTGGTCATTCAGTGAATAGTTATGTTAAATAAAAATTTAAATGACAAAACTACCCGTAATTTAGTAAACAATAGGCCAAAATAATTTGACAAAAATTGAGGGTATTTTTGTCATTTTATCCTTATTTAATGGAGATTTTTCATCAAAGAACCAAAATGATTGATGGTGGACCAACTTAGTAACTAATTCTATCGATTTCAAATCTCAAAGACTAAAGTGAGGAGTTATGCAAATCTCAGAAATCATTTTAGCTAAAAAGCCTACTTTAAATATGCATTGTACATTTGTCGTTGGTTTGACAATTCTAACAAAAAGGATATAAGTAAATGGTGGTTTATCCACGAACCCATTATTATTTTTTACACACCCCTCTAAATTTTCGGTTATCTGATCGAATAAATTGATGAAGATTAGTGGACAAAAATTAACACAGTGTATGAAAGGTAAAAAGAGGAGGGTAAATAACACCAACCTAATTAAATAAAAATATAAAACCAAAAAAAAATTAAAAAAAGAAAAAAGAAAAGTAAACGAAATTTCAAATCACATCTTTGATTTTTACATCTTCCAAAAATATAAAATGAATTATAAATTATATCTTAGTTGGAAAGCTCCAACATCTACTACTCATGTTAATTAAAAAACACCTTTTTCCTTGTATTAATATGATGTTTTCAACTTGAGAGATTTTCTCGGAACACCACATAATGTTACACAATTGAACGGAGACTTAAAAAAAAATATTTTCAATTGTATAATGACATGTGATGTTTTATCTGATGCTCCGAATACATTGAATAAAAACTCTCTTTGAACTGATTTAAACAGTTGATTATCTTGTCCACAAGTGCTTTTGTTGGGGAAATTTTTTAGTATGCTGAAACACTATTTTATACACTGAGTGTTATGAGTAATTTTTTTTGTTGGGGAAATCTTTGATGTATCTCGTCTTCTTTCACTGAAAAATATATGTTGGTCCAAAAGTCTTCGCAACATGGTCCACTTGTTAAACACCGTGCAGACACTAATTGTCCTTTTCTGTAATCTGAATGTATATATAAGTTAGAGAACCAACACCAACACCAACACCAAAACCACTTCCTTGCTCGCTTCCTCTCTCTCTCTCTCTCTCATTGTCAGTTACGTTAAACTCGCAATGGAGCAGCTCAATCCCAGCCCTGCAAATCTCTGCCCTCTCACTCCCCTCACCCTGCTAGAAAGGGCAGCCATCGTCTACGGCGACTGCCCCTCCGTCGTCTACACCACCACCACCTACACGTGGTCCCAAACACACCGCCGATGCCTCCAGCTGGCCTCCTCCCTCTCATCCCTCCTCGGCATCAAACGCTCCCAAGTCGTCTCTGTAATCTCGCCCAACACCCTTGCCATGTACGAGCTCCACTTCGCCGTCCCCATGGCAGGAGCCATCCTCAACACCATCAACACCCGCCTCGACGCCCGCACCGTCTCCGTCATCCTCCGCCACAGCGAATCAAAACTCATCTTCGTCGACCACCTCTTTGCCTCTCTCGTACTGGAAGCCCTCTCGCTCTTCCCACCTCAGCTTCCTCGTCCCCAACTCGTCCTCATCACCGATCATCCGAAGGACGGATCAATTCCTACCGTCGATCATTTCATCGACACTTACGAGAGTCTAGTGCGAAAAGGGGATCCTTTGTTTAAGTGGGTCCGGCCGGTTTCCGAGTGGGACCCAATCGTTTTAAACTACACGTCCGGAACGACGTCGGCTCCGAAGGGGGTTGTGCATTGCCACAGAGCCGTTTACAACGTGGCCCTGAGTTCCCTCACGGACTGGTCCGTGCCCAAAAACTGCGTCTACCTATGGACCCTACCGATGTTCCACGCAAACGGGTGGTGCTTCCCGTGGGCCATGGCCGCCGTCGGCGGGACAAACATTTGCGTCCGCAAATTCGATGGCCCAAAAATCTACGAATTAATCGAAGATAACGGCGTCACCCACATGTGCGCCGCGCCCGTCGTGCTCAACATGCTCATCAACACCCGGAGGTCCGACCCGCTCCGAAACCCAGTTAACATTC